TTCTTCTTCTTCTTCTTCTTCTTCTTCTTCTTCTTCTTCTTCTTCTTCTTCTTCTTCTTCTTCTTCTTCTTCTTCTTCTTCTTCTTCTTCTTCTTCTTCTTCTTCTTCTTCTTCGGCAATTGGGGTTAAGTGACTTGTCCAGAGTCACACAGCTACTAAGCTTCAGGTGATTGGTCTGAGGTCAGGATTTGAACTCAGTTCTTCCTGACTTTAGGGCCAGTGCTCTATCCACTGTGCCCACCTAACTGCCCCGGGATATCCTTTCTGCTGCTATCATACTCGGGGCAGCTCGGTGGCATAGTGGATGGAGCGCCAAGCCTGGAGTCAACTTCTTGAGTTCAAATCTGGCCTTAGACACTTACTAGCTATGTGACCCTGAGCAAGTCACTTAACCCTGTTTGCTTCAGTTTCATAATTTGTAAAATAAATTGGAGAAGGAAATAGGACTGAACAAACCAAGCTCTGCCTTGTATTATATTTAGTTGTACTCCAGTAGAATATAAGTTTTTTTGAAGGCAGGGACCATTAGGATTTCTGCATTTGTATTCCCAGCCATTCCTAGTACAATGCTTTTCATACAATAGTGTACCCTAAGGTCCAGGAGAGCCTGTTCCCACCAAGGGACTCAGAGGAACCAAGGTTTATCTCAGGATAAGTCTGACTCCAAAGGGGCGGAAAGAGATGGTCAGGCTTTTCCTTCTCTGACTCTACCTTCATCCCAGGCTGAAACTCCAGGGAAATCTTGGAAACAAAACTTAAGTATGACTTATGCCTAGGATCTCCCCATAATGTGGGTAACAGAGTCCCTTCTATTAAAGGCACTCAATATACAAGGTGTGTAACAAGGTATAGAACTGTTGTTTATTTCCTCCACCACAGAATATGCCTAAGACACAAAAGACAAGCATTAACAAATAGAGAAGTAAAAGAGAGCATTAACAAATAAAGAAACAAAACATCTTAAATAGCCCATTACACTCATTATTCTCCCACTTGTAAGCAACTCACAAGATCCAGATCTCCTGGCCAGCTAAGAATGTTTTTCCTTAGTCCTTCAGCTGTAGGATTCTCCTGTCATGGTGCTCTTCTCCAAAAAGCATGCTATTATGCTTTCATCTCCTTTTGGGCAGCTGGCACCCAAGCTTAACAACTGGTGATGACACAAGGTTATTGTCAAAGCTAGAAATGTCCATTTCTCAAGATCCATAGTCCCTGACATGTTCAGGGAAAGAAATAGGCAGAAGAAAGACATCAGAGATATAAGATGCTGCCTTGGGCAAGCCTAAACCTAAGCTTAGCCCGTAGGGTTGAGGGGGAAGAGAAATCCCCCATCCCCTCCATGACACCCACCTCTTGCTAGAAGTCTAATGGGAAATGGTGGAAAAGCCCAAAAAGAGATGGGTCCAAAAGATCTTGTCTTTCCATAATTCTTTTTTTGGGGGCAGCTAGGTGGCCCAGTGGATAGAGCACTGGCCCTGGAGTCAGGAGGACCTGAGTTCAAATCCGGCCTCAGACATATAACACATATAACAGATAAAACATAATTCTTTTTTTTTTGGCTAGGCAATGGGGTTAAGTGACTTGCCCAGGGTCACACAGCTAGTAAGTGTTATGTGTCTGAGGCCGGATTTGGACTCAGGTCCTCCTGACTCCAGGGCCAGTGCTCTATCCACTGGGCCACCTAGCTGCCCCATCCATAATTCTTATAATCCAACTAAGATCCTTCTTATTTCCTCCTTGGCCAATCATCTTTCAGACTATCCCTCAGGTATGGGAACCAATCAGGGATTCATGCTGAGATTCATGTCTTTCAGAATGGAGCCAAAGGGCATGTTTGGCTCCATGAGAGGTTCCCCTTCCTGACAAAGGTCCCTTCCCTTTAATTTTATCAAGTGGAATGGGGAGAATTCACTTGATTCAAGTTCCCTATCAACATCCTGCTACAGTAGGCATTTGATAAATTTTTTTTTTAAATTTAAGCTGAAGGCAAACTTCTTCTATTTTGAAATCTTGCCTTTTGGTCATGACTACATGGGACCCCAAGTCAGGTCAAGTCATTGAGTATTTATTATGTGCCAGGCACTGGGGATGACCAAAAAGGCACAATAATAATAATAATAATAATAATAATAATAATAATAGATAATAATAATACAATCCCTGCCCTCAAGGAGCTCATGGTCTGATGGGGGAGATAACACACAAACGATTATGTACAAACAAACCATAAACAGGATGAGTTGGAGATAGTCAACAGAGGGAAGGCACTAGCATTAAGAAGAATCAGAAAAGGCTTCTTGTAGAAGGTAAGATTTTAGGTAAGTCTTGAAGGAAGCTAGGAAGTCAGGAGGCAGAGATGAGGAGGGAGAGAATTCCAGACATGGGTGACAGCCAGAAAAAAATTCCCAGAGCCCATGGATAGTGTCTTGTTTGAGGAAGAGCAAAGAGGCCATTGTCACTGGATCACAGAGTATGTGGAAAGGAATAAGCCATAATAAGACTGGATACGTGGGAAGGGGCCAGGTTATGAAGGACTTTACATATCCAAACAGAGGGTTTTATATTTGATCCTGAAGGTGATTGGCAGCCACTGGAGCTTATTGAATGGAGAATTGACATGATCAGACTTGTGCTTTAGGAAGATCACTTTGACAGCTGAGTGGAAGATGGACCAGAGTTGGGAGAGACTTAATAAAAGGAGAATAACCGTCAGGACAGCCATGAGTAGATGACTGCCTGCACCACAGTGGTGCTATCAGAGAGAAAGGGGTATTAGACGAGAATTGTTGAGAAGGTAGAATAAACAGGACTTGGCAACTCATTTGATGGGGATGCGGTGGTGGTGAGGAGTGAGGAATCAAGGATGATAACTATATTTAAAGCCTTAGTTCAGTGAGGTGATTGTAGTGCCCTGAAGAATAGTAAGGATATTGGGAAAAGGGAAAGTTTTTTTTTTGTAGTGGGGGTGGGGAAGGACAAGAAAATGAATTTAGTTTTGGCCATATTGAATTAGAAATATCTACAACATCCAGTTGGAGATATTTAGCTGGGGTTGTGAGACTGGAGTTCAGTCATGTCCAACTCTTTATGACCCTGTGAACCATAGCAAGTCAATACTGTCCATGGGGTTTTCTTGGCAAAGATACTAGAGTGGTTTGCCATTTCCTTCTCCAACAAATTAAGGCAAACAAGGTTAAGTGACTTGCCCAGGGTCACCTATCTAGTAAGCTGGATTTGAACTCAGGTCTTCCTGACTCCAGTTCCTGGAGAGAGGTTGGGACTGAATAAATAGATCTGAGAATCATCTGCATAAATATGATAATTGAATCCATGGGAGCTGATGAGATCACCAAATTAAATAATATAGAGGGAGAAAAGGATTCAAGCTCAGCCATGGAGGATCCACCCACTATTAGGGACCACCTGGAAGAAGATCCAGCAAAGGAGTCTGAGAAGGAATAGTCAGATGGATAGGAAGAAAACCAGGAGAGAGCAGAATCAAGAAAACCTAGGAAAAAAGAGATTTCCAAGGAGAAGAGAGTGATTAACAATTTCAAAGGCTGTAGAGATTAAAAAGGATGAGAATTGAGAAAAGATAACACGCAACTCAACACACAGGTGAATGATATTGAAGAACCTGAATAAAAAAAAAAAAGCTGAGGTACTCCAGTTTTCTTTTTTCTCACTGTGTTTCCATCTCCTAAGGAAAACGAGGCTATGGACTGACTAAGGCTAAAGAGGATAAAGACATAGAGGAAATTTTCCTATAAAAAATAACTTTAATTGCTCTTAGTATCTCTGGTTAAGCTCTGACCACATGCTCTGCAAAGACTCTTCTAGATTGAAATCCTAAGAATGCTGTTCTTTGCAGAAACCCAACAAACTCCTTTCTCCTGCTCAGTCCTACCCCTAACTTTGAAATGTGGTACAATCTCCCCTCTCCTTTGACTCTGGTAGGAATATACCATTATTTCTTTACAGAGGGTAGGCTGCTAGAAAAGAGTTTTCATTATAGCCACCAGAGGGTGGCACACACCAGGGTCCTTTGGCCTTGGGGAGCACGCACAAAATCAAGGGGGTTGCCCTGTGCCTCTTCCTCACCAAAACTAAACTTGCCATTTTCATGACCTCTTAGCCTAGCCTGGTGTTCCGTCCTCCTAAGATGCAGTTGTGAATCCTCTGCTCCCAAAGACTCGGAAAGGGCCCCAAGTGTTTGTTCAGCTCATGTTCCATACATGTCTTCTAGGCCTGAGTGGGGACTTATTAACCAGGCAGGCCTCAGCATCTTCCCTCTCCCATCCCACATGTGTTAGGAATGGAGGGGGGAGCTAATCATCAGGACTTGTGTAAGGGCTTGTGTCTAGATTTCAGGTTTGCAAAGGATGAGGAAATGAGTTGATTTGAGGAAAGTTCTGCACACCCCCATGTGTATACACACACACACACACACACACACACACACACACACACACACACCACTGTCCTAATTCCAGCTTGGCGTCTCTAGTAGACGAGGGGGAGGGTGACTTTCAAAGAACCATCCCCCTCATCCTGACCTTCATTATGCAAATGACTGGGATAGGAATTCTAGGAGGAGAGTGGTTAGGACCAGGAGACAAAGAGGTGGGAGACTTGGCAGGGAAGGGAAGAGTCAGACAGTCTGAGAGAGTAGAAGATCCTCAGTCCTGGCCTTCTAGCTTAATACTCATTGCATTTCTTCCTCTCGTGGGCTGGCATCCTTAGGGTAGGTGGCCTAGAGGCTCATGTTTGAGACCTGGTGGTGTGCTGAGACAGACTAGAACTGCTCTGAGTTGGGGAGGGGGAGGGTTGTGGTAGCGGAAACTTAGGACATTTCAGAGCTGACATCTCATACCTGGATTGTTCCTTTTATTAGATCACATAGAGAAAAAAGGACAGTGACAGTATTAGAGTTGATCATGGCTCTTCCTAGTGCCTGACCGGGCATAGAACAGGGGCAAGAGTTGGAAGATTATATTACCATTTATAAATAGAAAAATAAAATTATCGGCCAGGAACTAGAGCGCTCAAAAGGGGGCAAGGCGTTTGTAAGCTCCATGAGGGCAAGGACTGTAACATTTGTATCTTTGCATCTCCCTCCACTTCTAGTAAAGTGCCCTGCATACAGTATATGTTTAATAAATGTTTGTTGAATTTAAACAAATTAAATTGAATTTGTAGAGGGCCAAGGAGAGAATAGTGGCTAAGGGAAATACTGCTTCCATCAATGCACAACCTCCTTATTCCTCCTTAGGACACCTTGCCAAACTCCCCTGCCCCTCACCCAATCCTTCTTCCTTTGTCCTCGTCTTTCTCTCTGTTCCTCCTTCTTAACATTTCATATTTGGCCTGTATCCTCTAATCTCCATGTGCCCAAGATTCTGCCTCTGCTCCGGCGTTTCCACCTAGAACTCTCAGCCCAGTAGTTCCTCTGCCAGGCGGTAGAGGAGGCGGGAGTACCAGTGCATACCGATGGACTGGGTGGTCCCACCAGGCAGCAGAGCCCCTAGAGCATGGAGCAGACGTAAGGGCGCGAAGGCACGATGAGCCCACTGGTGACTCTCCAGGACAGCGTAGCAGGAGGCCAGGACGTCGTTCACCAGCAGAGTACCGTGCGCAGTAAGAGGTGCGAACACACCCACAGCCTCCTCCCGAGCCACACGGGCCACTCGCGCAGGTCGAAGCGCGTCCCCGCCTGGGGCAAGTACCGAGTCCCCAGCTCGCAATCGCCGAGCAAACACTGGCTCGAAGTCGGCTGGGGCAGGAGCCGGGCCGCGGGCCGCAAAGACCAGGTGCCAAGGTGTGAGGAGCAGTTTGCGTGGGGGCCTCTCAGTCTCCACAGCTACAAAAGAAGCCCGGCGCTGCAAGTCTCGGTCCAGGAAGAGCAGCACGGGCGTGGGTACCACCCGGCCGGCAGCATCTGCAGCTAGCACCCAGTCTCCGTGATGCAATTCACGTAGTCCCTTCCGTTCTCCGCTCCGCAGACGTACCGTGGCGTTTCCTGGGAAGCAGCCACCTGCCCGCACCGCCAGAGAGTTGTCTGCAGTGGGAGCAAGGGTAGAAAGCTTAAACAGGGACGACACAACCCCTCTTCCCACTCACCCCTACTACCACCTCGCACTCCATCTACGCCTTCTTGCCTCTATCCGGGCTAGAAGAGGGACATTCGAAGTGATTTACAATGATACCCATCCCCTTGTGTTCATTTTCAGGCAGAAGGCCGGTACAATATAATTTTTCCCCCTAGCAAGCGATGCTTTCAGTATCCGCCCTGCTCAGCCCAAGACTTAACTCTTACCAGCTTTGACAGACACGTGGACATGGTTGCGGGATTCGTAGTGTACCCAGTCGAAGCCAGCCTCTACTGCCAGTCTTGCCAATAGCCCGTACTTATTGCGGTCGCGGTCCGATGTGGTTATGTCCAAGGCCCGGCCTTCGTAGTGTAGTGAGTCCTGAGCATGGTGTCCGTCCTCGTCCCAGCCTTCGGTTACCCGCAAGCGCACTCCTGGCCACATGTTCATCACAGCTATAGCCAACGCATTCACTCGTTCCTTACAGCGCTGGGGTGAAACAAGGTGTGTGGGGGTTGGAGGAGTAAAATCAGCGTTTCGAATTGGAGTACAAGGGAGGAGAAAGGGGAGAGAAATGAGACGGAAAACCAGAGTCGTACCCCGTCCAAATCTATTATTACTTTTGAACCATTCACCCTTCTTAAATAACCCAGCGGGAAACCAGGGAAAACCCCTCCTGGAATGGAGGGCTAGGAAGAGGAGAATCATCTTACTCCACTTCTGGTTCCCCTTTCCCCTCCAGAAGTGCTGGAACTTCCACTCAGCTTAGGATCTAGATGATACCTCCCCCCCACCCATGTAGATTGCCCTACAGAGAAAGACGGGGTGTAGCTCCACCGGGGAACCGTAAGGGGGAGGCTGGGTCGACTGCCCCAAGAAGAGTCCCTATCTAAGCCATCTGGGCCTCAGCTTAGGCCCAGACCTCCCTCCGCCTGATTCGTCTTTTGTTTCTTTGCCTCCCCTGGCACTGGGCACTGTTTCCTTCCTTCCTTCCTTCCTCCTCCTCCTCCTCCTCCAGCCACCCGACTCACCACCACCTCACCCCCCAGCATTAACCCCTTCAGGCACTACAAGCCTGGAGGAGAGGGAGTGGGCGTGAAGAACCTAGGGGCTCCCAGAGGGGCCGAGACTACAGGAAAGGTTAGAGTGGCGGGGGCTGCGGAAAGCACAATGGCCATTCTCCGGGATGACTTAACCGGGTGAGAATCCCGGGCCGGGCCGGGGCAGTGGCGGGAGAAGCGAACTCAGCAGCTCTAGCCACAAAGACTCTTTTCAGCCGCCCCAGCGCGGGGAGAATAAAGGGCAGTGAGCCGCGCCCCCCTCTCCTAGAGAAGTGCTACAGCCCCCTCCCCCAGCTCGGCCAACTCTTCGTTGGCCCAGTCTCAGCCAGGGATCTCCAAGCGCTCAGAAACCCCACCTCTCACTCCTCCAGGCTATTGCCTAGAAAGCAGGACTGCAGTACCTGAGAATGGGGGTGTACTGCCCAGGCCGGACTGCCGAGGAATGAGGAGATCCTTGATCTGAGGTGAAAGTTGCGGGTGGGCGGAGAAGGGAGGCGAAGGCTCACAGCTTGGCTCTGGGGGAGTGAGCCTGCACTTATCGCTCATAGTTACAGTCTAGGAGCAAGAGACCTTGGCCTGACTCATAACGGGGAGAAGGGAGGGGTTGGAAAGGGACCCCTGGAGGAGGCGGAGAGCTGATAGTCTCCTTTTCTTCTCAGCTCCGCCCACTCACCTTTAACTTTGGTTCTCCTCATTGCAAGGTGGGGGTAATACTCTTCCTGGTCCCCTACCCCCAACCTCTACACCTCCAACAAGTTCCACACAGTGAAGAGGAGCAAGAAAAGTCGCTGCGCCGCTGTGGCCAATAGGCTAAGCGGAGGCCCTGACCTGCGGGGGCAGGACCGCTGAGAGCTGGGTCCAGTTCAATGGAGCCATTTTGCTGCCATGCAATGGGAGGTGAGGGTCTCATGAACTACATCATATACTGGAGGGAGGTGGGGGAGGCTTCCCTGTATTCAATATGTGTTCAATATATGGTTCCATTTAAATTCTGCCAGGTACAGGTGTCATTGAGAAATATGATCAGGTAGAGAAGGCACAAGACTGAAGAGGGAAGCCCCTGGCTGGAAGTGGAAGCCACAGAAGGAAGCCCCAATTCCCAGGGTAAGGACTGCTGAGCAGGAAACTTGTTGGAGGTGTAGGTTTGGGGTCTCCTGGCTTTGAATGGGGAAAGAAAATGAATTCTTTCTGGGCAGTATCCCCAGAATAAGAATAGCTAGCATTTATGCAGTATTAAAGGTGTCGAAGCAGTATCTCATTTGATCTTCATAACTACCAAGTGAGTTAGCTGCTATTATTGTTCCCGTTTTACAGATGAGTACACTGAGGCAGACAGAAGTTGTAACTTAGCAGGGTCACATAGCTAGTCTGGAGAATGGAGAATTAATTAATTTATCCAGAGAAAATAGCTTGCTTCTCCCTTTCTTCTCTTCCTAAATGCTGTATAATGGCAAAAACAAAACAAAATAAATTTTAAAAAAACCACCACCAACAACACACACACTCACAACCCTCTACTAAAGTCCTATTCCAATTCCCCAAAGAGGGCAGATGTAATCCTGGGTTCTCGAAAGACCAGGGCAGTAAAGCAGTATAGTCTTGGTAGGCCCTACCAAATTGAAAAGAGTTTAAGTACAGCCTGCAACCACCTGAATACTTGTGCTCTCTAAATTTGAAGCATTTATGGCTAGAAGGAGGTCCATCAGGTGACAATTTTTCCCACATTGATGAAAACAAAGGATCCTGGAAGTGAAAACAAATCCAAGGAGGTGTGGGTTCTAATCCTACCTCTGCTCCTAATGAATCCAGTGATCTAGTACAAGTCACTTTTCTCTGGGCTTCGGTCCCTTAATCTAGAAAATGAGAGGATTGGACTGAGTCCTAAATTCCTTATTCTATCTAGACAATTGCTCCAATTTTTTTTGAGCAATTGATTATGGAAAGCTTCCAGACATCCAACACACATCTCCAACTAGCCAGAAATGGGCTCCTTAATCCAACAGGATTATGAGATTCAAGTGCCCTTGACTCTCACTTTAACTTTCTGAGTTGGCCACTACCTAGAGCCCAAGTGGGAAGAAGACACCTAGATTCCCGAGATGTTAGACATAGTGGACCTTGACAAGCTGGGATTTAGATTTAGAAAACTAAGACATAGAAACACAGTGGAGTGTTTGGACAGCTCTCTCGGCAAGGACCCTGACCTCAGCCTCAGAGCTTCTTACCTTGATGTTCTCAAGGTGAGCAAGTATTTTGGGAACAAGGACCCTTGGCAAGAATTTTCTATCAATACAATACATCCTCAGAAATAGTAATAGGGCACATGAAAATTCAGTGGAGAGGGGGGTGGAATCTTCCAACGGTAGCTGGGTGTCCTGAAATGGGACAAGTCTCCTAAATGTACTAGCGTGGGTACCTCCACCCTGTGGCTCAGGAATTCCTTTCTTCACCTCCTCAGCCACAATCCTGAGCAGTCCTGGAAAGAGCCTGGCACATGAGGGTCAGCTATTGAAGCTCTGCCCCTTATTCCTTAGGAGACTCCCCGATCACCCCAGGGCCTTGCTGGCCCCGGGCTCACCTCAGCCCTTCCTGCCTAGCTCGGTGACTGACCCCCGGTCCACGCCTCAGTCATTTCCCGTCTCGCCTGCCGCCATTCCACAACCCCTCCCCCCACCTTCTCAGCTTGTCCCTTTCACTCTCATTAGTCCTCCCCAACCGCCCTCCCTCCCGCACCAGCTTACTCCTCTGTGATCCTCCAAGCCTTTCTATTGAGATATCTTCCTCTAAGATGAGGCTTGCCTTACATAGGCTGCAACAATTGCAGAGTAGGGCTGGTGGTGAGGGAGATGTCTTAGGTTTCGTGGGAGCTCCACAGAGAAGGGCGAGCGGGCAGCGGGTATGTCCAGCATAGGCAGGGTCAGACACCTGCGGAATAGGGCGAGGACTGGGGATGGCTTTCTTACCTCGGTCATAAGGCGGTCAGCCCCACTGTTCTCCTCATCCTTGAAGATGATGTCAGGATTGTAGTTGGGCACCAGGTCTCGAAAGCGTTCCGACCCCCGGACCACTCTACCCTCGGGCTGCCCGCTGGCACCCAGGGTTCGCTCTGGCACGCTAGGCACAAACTGCTTGTAGAGTAGCGGTATAAGTTGCTTTCGCACATAGCGGCGTCTGCCCACGGGTCCCCGGCCGGGTCCACAGCTCCTGGTAGGCAGTGTTAGTAGAGCCAGGAGTGCCAGGCAGCACACGGGCACCAGGACCACCCGCAGCGCCATGGCACCAGCCCCTAGGGGAAGGAATATCTGTCCTCACGGGGGCTTCTAGTCAGTTGGGCATTTCTTTTCCGATGAGCAGCAGGTGATTTATCTAAGGAGCGCTGGGCTCACACTGATGTCCGTAGCCGAACAAAAGGGTCACGGTACTGAGGCTCTTCCTTCATGCCCCCGGAGTTTGTGACCCGTCACTAAGGGACTATAACATAATACTCTAGGAATGGGGCAATGGGTACCAGCCTTGTACCCGGCTCTACTTACTACCCAGGACAGTGTTGCCGAACTCCGCCTTAAGTGGCTATACGCCCCACCCACTGTCTCTTGCTCCACCCCCCTGGGTGAGCCCAACCCGCCCCTAATGCCTCAAGCATCAGACCCAACGCCCCTCTTCCCCTCCCACCCAGTTTCCAAGCAGCCGGCTTTTAGTCCTTGGCTGGAGTTCTCACCCGGCGCAAGTCTCTAACCAGGGGAGTAAAGGTCTGGGGACGCTCAGCTTGGCAGAATAGCAGCGGCTTTGCAACCCTGCTGTCCTACTTCCTCGATAGGGCTGGCTCTCCCTCAAGGTCTGATAAAGGCTGGAGACATGCCCTGTTATTACTCCACATTGTGTAGACCTTCTCTCAATCCCCCGAGTGCCGGTTTTAGATTGCAGTGACCTCCGGAGGTTTCAAATATCTGACCCGAGGATACCTGTCCCCCAAATGCTAGAGGTTTCCCGTCCCACCAGTTATCTCTGCTCTCATTCTTTCACACTACATAGTCCATTGGCAGCTAGGTGGCGCATTGGACTTGGAGTCAAGAAAACCCGAGTTTTAATCCTGCCTTTACTTGCTGAGCGACCCTGAGCATAAATGACTCAACCTCCTGGCCTGTTTCAGTATCAGTAAAATTGGGGGTAATCATAGCACTTACCTCTCAGGGGTGTCTTGAGGATCACACAAAACAACAGGGAAGGGCTTTTGCAAAGCTCTAAGGGCTATTATAAATACTAGTCCACCTTAGATTGTAGTCTGGTAACCAACTTTTCCAGTCCTTCTTGCTTTGGAGTGGTGCTTGGTGCTGAGGAAATTTGTCCCTTTACTCCTACAGTCAGACCAAGAGGGATGACCTCCCACACATGATTCTGAGACAGACCTCAGATTTCATTATTGGGTGGGAGGGGAAGCTCCTTAAGGACAGAAGCATCGAAAACACGGCACTTCAACACCTGTTGCTTTACCATCCCTGGGTGAAGGGCCCTTTTGCAAAACCCTTCTTCTCAAAAGAAAAATTTCTGCCTCAGATCTAAACTGGGAAATGAATCTTAAGCAGTAAAAAGTAGAAGTTAGGAGCAGGATCTTTTCCCCAGCTGAACGGCTGAAGATACAAAAACTGGGAATGGGTCCGGGGACAGTATAGTTCATCTTGAGTCTGGATGAAAGGTAGGGATGGAGGGAAGGGCAGCAGGGAGGGTGAAGTGTTTTAACCTAAATTGAGAATAAATGTTATCTGGTTTCAAGCAGTGAGGATTTGAGACTACTTTCCTTGCTGCTTCCAATCTGCCCTTTCCAAACCCTTAGACAACCAAGAGTCATCGGTAGTGTTTCTCCCCACACCCTTCAACGTGAAACATTTGGTGGAAGATGAATTCCTTGAGGATAGAAATGGCTCCACTCTTATATTTCGTATCCCCAGTGCCCAGTCCATTGCTGATGTTTAGTAAACGTTTGTGAATTAAACTCTCCTCATAAAAACATGTTGAGAACAGTCTTCTTTTTTCTTTTTTTTAAGAACCCTTGGGAACAACTTTATTTGGGGGAAGGAAGAATAGGGGGAGAGAAAGAAAAGGATGGGAAGGATCTTTATCTTGAGAGGGAACAAACCTTCCTGACCTCATCCTGTTCCAGGACCCAGCTAGTTGAGAGAGGTCCCAGGGAGGGCTCTGCTCTGCTAGGGGTAGGACAACAGAGGTCTAAGGCCAATGTGTTCCAGGGAAATGGTCTGTTTCCCCATTCTTTCCCCACTTCCCAATTCCTTCCCTCCCCTATTGCACATCAGATCATGTAAACATGGCCAGGGGCAGAGCCCAGGACTATAATGAGGCAGATTAATATGTAAACGGAGATGAGGCTAGGAGCTAGTTGCAGGTACCCAGCCTTCTAGACAGAGGCCCACATTTTTCTGAAAAGGATTGGTAAAAAGGGGGAAGGGGGATCGGAAAAGAAATGGGCCCCAAACTTTGGCTCAGATTATACAGCAGTGCAAAGGTCTTTAGCTACCTTCCAACTCCTCCCCCCGACACAAAAAATTCCAGGCTTCGAAGAACACCTAGTCCCCCCCCCCCAGGACTCTGCTCCAAGCTTGGAACTATCCAGTCTTCTTCCTTCCACCTGACTCTCCAAGATCAATGTCACTGGAGCTGAGTCTTGCTGTGCTGACGTGGAAATCCAGAGACAGATAGTGGTAGTCTATCAAGGCCTGAGGAAAAGGAGAAGCAGCCAGAAATAAGGCTCTCTGGGTAGTAAAGTCACTCAGTGAGATACTTTGGTTTATTAGATAGTAGGCAGATAATCTACAGCCCTACCTGTCAATCATGAGTCCCAGGAACCTCCTATCACCTTCCTTATCTCCTCCCCCCATTTCCAATCCCTCCCCACCTCCACCTCACCAAAGGCCCGGATGAGCTCATCCCGAACTGCTCCAGTGACAGTCTTGACCAGGCAAAGGGTGGTGAGGCCAGCAAAAGCTGCATTGTACAGGAACACAATATAGAAATTTCCCAGCCAACTGAAACGCCCAAAGTCACCCAGCAAATCAAATCGGGTAAGCCCTGTGAATGCAGAAGGGAAAACTAAATAGTTTTTAAAAAGAATCAATTCTTAACACTCCCTCTGATTACAAGCCCCTAAATCAACTCAGAAAGTTGGCTCTCTGCTGCCCTCATGTGGTCATATCTTAGTACTGCAATCCCTAGTACTGAAGATGCCACCCCCTTCAGTCAGCCCTACCAATCTTTCCTTGATCTCCGTAGTGGAAGCCATACTCACCTCTTACTTGACTCCAAATACTTAGTTTAGAAGTACTATTGGGGATAGCCTTTGCCTAGCACTAAATAACCTCCTAGGCTTCTGTTCCCAAGGAAAATTCCCACCGCCCCCAAAAGGCCAACAGTACTCACCCAGTGTACGAGAGAAAACAGGCAGGGCTGAGCTCAGCACCAGCAGACAGACACAATTTCCAATGATCTAGAGATGGGGAAAGGGAAGGAGATCAGAAGATAGAATAGTCCCTTGAGCAGCTGCCAATATCCTGCATTAGCCCTCTTGACCCCAATAAAATCCTAGTCTGTCCTCCCAATACCTGAGTCATGGCTGTATCTCGACATTTGGGCTGAAGGCCTCGGAACAATGCAGAGCTATAGAAGCCCACAACAGAGGACAGCATCAGGTAACTACTGATGACTTAAGGAAGAACTGGCATTGAAATGATTACATTCCTTCCTCATCCCCTCCAACCATCTCATTTCTCCCTCTGTCTGTCTTGGGTAGGAACACGACCTGTTACTCCCCCACCCCAATCTAGCTCTGCCCAGGAGACAGGGCTGAGGGGTAGAAAGGACAGGGTATAAAGTTTCTTCGGAAGGATACAGGATGAGGATAACCTGGATGATGGCGCCAAAGGAGCCCAACTTGGAGAATGACACCTGGCCCAAGGAGGTACCCTGTATGGGGAAAGGGGTGAGGTCATCACCTGTGGCACTCCTCTCCTTTGAGATCTGCTTCATCTCTTTCCCCCTGTGGTCATGAACTTTTTCAGTTCCCTCTCCCAACCTACTCCCCCCACCCCGAAGCCTTTGGCAAACCAACGCTGTTTGCCAACTGAAAACCAGTCTTAAACAAAACAAAACAAACAAAAATCATACAAGGAACCACAAGCCCTATTTTGAGGGTCAAGGCCCTAGGGTTGGCTGTGGGGGAAGGGAAGAACTGGTACCTGCATGCCACGGGGCATGGCTGCCTCATCAATGAGCAACTCCAGGATGTGGATGGCAACAATGAGCACAGAGAGGCCCTAGTCGGGGGAGGAAGGGAGGGAGAGGAAGAGAGCGGAAACTAGTCCTATCAGCTCCTATCCTGGTCCCAGTAAAAATATGACACTCCCGACAGGTCCCTCCTGAAATCTCTTTCCCCATTTTGTAACTATGGAACATCTCTTCTCCCTCTCATATGCCCTACCCCAGCCTGCCCCGGGCATAGTGCCACAAAGCCTCACTCAGTGGACTTACCCCCCCCCCAGCCCCACACCCACCGTCAGCAATAGCAGACATAGCATGGCCAGGGGATAACCCAGGTTTCGCTGCCAGGCAGAGGCCTTCTGTCGTTTCTCTGAGCAAGGACAGGGAGACACAATCAGTAAGGGGCTGGTTGCAATGGAAGGGGAGTTCCCAAACCAGCTGCCTTCCTCCTCCCCCTGTTCCATTCCAGGCTGCCTCCCCACCTCTTGGGCTTGCCCACTGCAATCTCTCCACACCCATACCCAGCATGAGCCTCTGTGTCTGCAGAGTCACGACCTGTCTGTGCAGCAGCTTCATGTCCAGGGGCAGCCAGCACAAAGTGGGGTCTAAGGCAGAGGAGAACAGTGCTGAGGCCTGTGACTCTGTCCTAACTGGTCCCCCACCCTTCACCTCCAAGCTACCAACCAGCCCTCTCTGTCCTGCCTCCTCTCCAACAAACTATCCCGGAGCCTGAGTGCTCCTGAGGGGAGAAGGCCACTCACTACACATCCTTCGGGTCAGAGCTGCCTCCTCAAAGGCTGAGCAATGCAGCTGTTCTTCCAAGTCCTCCAGCAGCTAGGCAGTGGGAAAAGGGGTAGGGATATTTAGAAGCTTCACAATCTCGGAGTTCTGGCCTGCCCTGGAGCACCCTCTATCCTGCCCCCTCCCTAGCCACCCACACCCAAGAGGCCACCAACATGCTGAAAAGGAAACGACCCAATGAGAGTAGTAACATGAAGACCTGAAATCACCGGGAAGGGGTAACATTGACCTTACAGACCCTTCCCTTACAGGCAGGTTTTGAGCAAGGACACAGGACCACTAAAGTGAAGGTGGAAAGAGAACCAAGAAAATCAAGCAAAGGAAGCCTGGAGGAAAAGGAGGCAAAACTCCACTTATTTCTGCACTTCTAAATCTGCCTGAGGATCTCCCCACAAGGCAGAAGGGAGAGGGGATACTACATACCCTGGGCTTGACCAGCAATCTCCCAGTGACAGAGAACATTTGGGCCAGGCCCAGTGGTGTACACACTGCAGAGCAGGAGAAG